CAGGTGTGAAATCTCGCGGGTTTGGCCGCCGGGAACGATGAATCCACTGGCCAGAAGTTACCATCCAGGTACCACCAGGAATTATGTAGATGTAAATGCCGTAAATATTCCCTGCATCATGGACTCTTCCATGAGTAGGTCTGCCTTCACCAAGACATTCACATTATCTCTCATGATGCCTTTGGCTCGGTCTGCCTTGAGCTTCCTGCAATCAGTCCGTCTATGTCTTCTCTTTTGACAATAATAGCAAGTCGAAGTCTCATCCGAGTCTCTTTTCTGCTGGTATCCAGTGGCGCCCTTTGAGTCTGGTTACCCGCTTCCACAGCCGTCTTTGCTGAGTAGTCCAGCATGTCGTCTGCCACCCACAGCAAGTATGGTGTTACCCAAGACATCTAGGTCCCAGTTCAAGCTTGACTCGCACTCCTTAATTGCTACAACCAGCTCCTCCAGCAAATCTGGTTTTACTATCCTGGCTTGGAGATCATGCTATTCATGCCATACTGATGGTAATCTATTCAGCAAATAGAAAGTCTTCTCTCTTGGATTGACAACTTCCTCAGCCTCTCTCAAGCACTCAATGATTTTTTTCAATCTTGTAAACATGCTTTGCTACCATGCTGTGCGCCTCCTACAGCAGTCGAACCGCGAGCGTCGGAAGTAGTAGAGCTCCAAACTTAGAGCTTTCTTGTATCCCACCTCAAACTTATCCAATAAAGCTTTAGGATTTTGTCATAGTTGTTTGAGGCATATTGCACACAAATGTGTGGCTCCATAGTATTTCGAATCTTAGCTGTAATTCAGAAACATTTGCACAGCCCTGTGTCATAGGCTTGAACTTACTCTGTAGTAGTTCTGTCACTCTCCGGTGCAACTTCTCTTCCAGAAACAATCTACTATAGGTCGAGCTCTTTTAATTCATCTGACATACTTTGTCACCAGGTGCCAAAGTTATCATCACCAAGTAGAGGAAATGCCAACCGGTCCGTCTGCTATGCGTCTAACACTTGTAACATAATGCAGATAGTGATAACAGTCAATCCCGTAAGTTCTGATATGTAGGTAAAAGAAAGAAGGAAAGAAGAACAAGCAAAAAAAAAACAGGTTTGTATGTGTGGGTCAAGAAGCAAACAATCTCTGTAGAAATAAGTGACAGTGACAAACTGGAGAAAAATGTTCGAAATTTGCACGACACTAACAGCTGTTTATCGAAAGTACTTTTTCATAGTTCTGTATGTCGTTAAAGTGGAAGGCTCATAACCTGTAGGCACTGATGGGTGGAGAGGAAGGAACTTTCTTTTTGTATTTCCTAGCTACGCTACCACTGCTACTTAAGGCGAAATACATGTATGTACCAAGCTACCACTTGTCACATTTTCCCAACTCATAACCCTAATGACTATGAGGTTAGCCCCAGTACTACATACACTCCCGTGTTAACACATGAGTCATGTGAAAATCCTTTGTTCCTCCTTGTCAATCTGCCTTGTCTCAATCTGGTTTGTGATACTATGTGCATTATCCGGGAAGAGGTCTTGAGGACAAAGAATTATGTAGTCATATGAAATGCAGCTGCAATCCATATGACAGTTGGATTTGTAAGTAGATTGTAGAAATGTCTATCTATAGAAGGCAATAAGTTCAGCCTTTGAGATAGATCTTCATATAACCATCTAAGTTATTTTCTAACATATATCTTTACAAATACTACTTTATATTCACACCTCATATATCTTCCTTACCGGAAACCTGCAACAAGTATAGTGAATGATAGTTGCTGTTGGAGTACTTAAGAAAAATAATAACAGTATTCTCTTAAGCCACAGGATACAACTACTAGACAGTCACTATATTGAAGAAGAGGGAAGTAATAACAGGTATTACTTCTACAACAAGACTCATTACCTGTTGAACAAATACATCTTGGAAGCAATCGAGGAGTAATCCTAACAGCCATAAAGGGACTGGCACTAGTGAAAGGCTTGCTCTTATATGTATTAGAAGGCAGGATAAATTTTCCAACAAAGATGAGGGATTTTCCTTTTTGTATTATGCTATATTGGCATCATGATTTGAAATTGCTTAGAGTCAGAAGACAGGGACAGCTTGATAAATGTCATCACTAAGTTGTTAGTAGGTGGAGGAGAAGTTTCCTTTATTATAGGACTTTTAGGCCATACTTTAGGGTGCTTGCCATGGATTTTCCTTTACATTAGTACAAATAAACCGCGGATTTAACAAAAACGAGGAAGATAGGTGTCACCACACTCGAAACTCAGACCCCCATAGCTCGGGACCTCGGTGCGAGATCTACAGAGATCTATCATACGAAGGGAAATAAAAAAAACCGAAAAAGAATTCGGAACAACTGGCAAAGGAATCGAAAGGATCATCCGTCCAGTTTGGAACGGGCGAAGTCCGGCCAGACAAGTTTTACCAAATTATTGTTTGCAGCCTATTTGTGACGCTTCAATTCCTCAATTTAATTTAGCTCATCCTCGCGAACACCTGGCTTAGGTTTCGTTTACTCCTGTTCCGTTCAATAGATGCTTACTGTGCATACAGTAGTCTGGTCCGTTGTCCTAAGTTTCTGGCACTATGACCCCCACTCCTCAAGTACGGTATCATAACCACCCGAGTAGTAAATTACTTCCTCCGAGGGTATGATAGTTTAAACCCTTTTCTGGGGAACGGCGGGCACCATTCTACCAGTAGGGCTCTGAGTCATCGCGAACTTCTCAACTCTAGGCTTGTTTGCTTGGTCAAGCGAGCTGGGTTCCAAGACTCTTCTAATCACCCCACTACCGATAACTCCTGTTCCGAAGGGAAAACAACTTCGATTCCGCCAATTGGGCTCCTCTGCCAGCATGACTTTAACTACGAGTAAGGCATCATTTAGCTTGATCCGCACGCTAAAGCCAAAGCCAACAATCTTCAATTCCAAATTCTCTATGGCTACCACAACCCGTCCTTTCTCCTCCTACATCATCGAGCCGGATGAGCTTGCAAAGGCCTTAGAAGCCAACCCACCGCTTCCTAGCCCCGGCACTTCGCGCGTGATGCCCATTTCAGCAGAATGGTACCTGCCCAACGACACCCGCAAGGGCGTTGAGGAATTCGGAAAACTGCGCATTCCAACAGCCCGATTCTTCGACCTGGATGCTATCAAAGATCACCACTCGCCCTACCCACACATGTTGCCGACTGGAGAGACATTCGCCGAGGCAATGTCGCAGATGGGCGTTGAAAGGGAGGACACGGTCGTGCTATATGACTCGCCACAAACTGGGATATTCAGCGCACCCAGGGCTGCCTGGACATTCCGGGTGTTTGGTCATCCAAGGGTTCACCTTTTGAATAATTTCAAAGTATGGGTTGAGCAGGGGTTTCCCGTGGAGAAGGGCCCGGTTGGGCAGGCTGTTAAGACACAGTACCCCGTCACCGAGCCAGACTTGAGTCTTGTTTCTCCCTTCGAGGAGATACGAGAAATTGCGGAGGAAGGCGGGAGAGAAGGCGTTCAGATTTTGGACGCCAGGCCGCAGGGGAGGTTTTTAGGCAGCGATCCAGAGCCTAGGCCAGGTAAGTCTAGCCTTGCTGTCAACCATGGAGAATACTTTTGCACTCTGGGTATGACTGGTTTCTGGGCAAAAATTAGGGCTTCCCTCGGGCCACGTTCCTGGATCGATCTCCGTGCCATTTAGCGAACTTGTCGACCCCGTCACTAAAAAATTGAGATCTGGGAAGGAACTTGGTAAAGTTTTGCTGAGCAAAGGAGTCGATCCCTCCGATGAGGTGGAGAAAAAACTCATGTGCGGCACCGGTGTCACAGCCGCGGTCATCGAGTCTGCTCTCCAGTTAGCCGGCTTTGGGGGGAAGAGGAAAATCTACGATGGGTCATGGACGTGAGTGCACATTCACTTTTGCACATCGCTAATATTACCTTTCCACCCATAGCTCACGTGGGGAGTGTGAAGTGGTCTTTGCTCTGCTTTATTTATTTGTTTATTTGTTGCTCACGTTACCACCCCATCTTGCCCGGCTGACCTTATTGGTATTTAGTGAGTGGGCTCAGAGGGTTGACGAGAAGTCGGGATTGATCTCAAAGAAGTGAAATTTGAGGGTTTCATTGTACGTTATCTGCTTGTAGCCTACAGCCGTTTCTAGTCACAGGCAATGACTAGGTTAGCGATACCTATGGTGCTCCTTGGTGCCGGCATTACGCTCTAATATTTTACTCTTTGGGTGCCGAAAAGAGAATAAAGTCCCAATACGGATGACGGCATTTAATAGAATGTCCGATGTGATACGATACCGGTAACGAATGGGTTTAGTTTCTGTCGGGAATCATGATACTGGGTTCTGTCATGAATATCGGCAATAGAAATTTGAATCCCATCCCAGTATCACTGTGGACTATAATATCCTGTGTCATAGTCTACCGGTATTGTGAGAGGTAGGCTCGGTCGTCCGCGCATCAAAGGCGCAGTTGCTTCGTTCAAACATGTTGATTGCGTGATGCCATTGAAAAACGCGCCTTGAGGGCAATAAATAGAAATAATTTCATGGCCTATCCCGATACTCCGTGAGGTCCAAACCATATGTCTTCGAGGACAGGATGTACAAATACTCGAGTATGCTAAGGCTCGTTTTGCACGGCCACAAAAAAAAAAGGAAAAAGAGGGTTGTCCCGTGGCAGCAGCCAGATGGCTTATACTCGTACTCAAGTACCGCAGAACATTTCTAGAAAGAGAAAAAGAGGAGGTTTGCTTTTTCCTGTCTTCACCTTCGTGAATCAAGTCTCAAGTTCTGCGAGCTGCGGCAGGTGAACTTCTTTTCGTATTCTTTGGATGTCTTCTCCGTGTTCTGTTCATGTTCTATGCGCCGGTGAAAAGGGCATTATATTCGAGTAATAATAATTATTATGGTTGATGCCCCGTGTAACTTTAACTGAGTCCGTGGTTTCGGCTAAGCCCTGATCGCTTTCTCTCCCACCGCGGCCCACAATCTTGCCACCTCACATCCCAAACTAGTCCAACCGGCCTTCAGTCAGCCAACTCCCTCACAAAGCAACCAGTCAACCAACCAGCATCCTCCCATATCCTTCCTGTCTACCTGTTGCCCCCCAATATCACTTTCCGTGCCCTATCATCTCCCCTCCTCCTACTCCTCCTCCGCCTTTAACCCTCCCTCCGACGCCGGTGTCACACACCCTCATAAAAAGAGACAGTCAGAAAAAAAAAAAGAATGAAAAAAGGAAGAGCAACTCTCCTGTAATTCTTATCGGCTCTTTTCCCTAATCTCGCCACCCTCTCTCCTATTCCGCCGAGACCTCCCTGCCCGTCACGCCTTACCTGCAACTTGCTAATATACTCGAGTACTTATACTACACACATTCTCCCCCATTCCTGTATCTACCAGCCCCTTGCACTTGAGGTACAAATACAACCATTTTTCTCGTGTTTCGAGCAAACAAGCGCAGCCATAGTCAACCTTTACAGAAGATGATCAAGAATGGAACCTCGAGGCAATCCCAAACTCGTAATTCCCTCATCCCTCCCCCTCTCCCTATACCTACTCCATGAAAGGGTTGTAAGGACTGACCTCTTATCCTGTCTCTGTAGCTCGAGCGGTTTGCTGTGGCTCGTCTACAGTACACGGTTAACGAGCTTCGAACCCAGGTCGATCACGACAGAAATCTTACCCCCCCTGTACGCAAGGTTTTCCATTGCGTTGCCGATGAATCAGTACTCACGGTAAAAATTGCCGGATTTAAGACGTGGGTCAGTGAGGGCTTTATTACCCTTGCCGTACCATTTTGCAGTAGGTTTTTCCCAGGCTTCAAGCCTTCCCTGCTCATTCTGGCTTATCTCCCGATGGAAGCTTACTAATGTTTTGTAATAGCTTTGGATGCGCTCGACGACACGAAGAAAGGGACAGATTCCAAGAACATCAATTCTAGGGAGACTATTCGCTATCTCGAGCGTTGCCAAGTTAAGCCTATCCGGGGGGCAAAGGTGTTGAGTGCGGGGGAGATGTTCGTGAGCTGGGCAGAATGCGAACAATTTCGGTTGCCGGAAATTTTGGTCCCTTCGCCCTCCCCTATGATGGAGGCGGATGGTAGCGGTAGTGGGCTCGGAACGATGCTCCCACCGGTGTGGATTCAAAAGATCCTCAACTCCATGCTTTACAAAATACATAATTCGGGGGAGCGAAGGTCCGCTTCTGGGGATGGTGCGGAAGACCCAGTCATCTTAGTTACCAACTACGAAGAGCTCCGCAATTGGGCTGCCGTGTTTGGCATTCAAGCCGTCGACCTTGTTACTATTGAGCGGATGATTGATGCCGAGGGCTGGGATTTTCAAAACAGGAAACAGAGATACGAAGCTTTAATGAGTCCTGTCTCTCCAACCCGCGCGGGTCGTGGCGGGAGGTCGGGTAGCTTTGGTAGGGGTGGTGGAAGGGGTGGAAGACGCAATAGCCGTACTAGCGAACAACCCATTGACCCTGAGTTTTCCAGGGGAAACCATTCCGCAGCCAGCTACACCCTTCGCGGGCCACCACCCGGAGGAGTCGCTCGAGGTTGTGGAAGGCTCTGGGAACCATAGTCACTCGATCAGTCACTTCCAACTCTACTCACTCACATATGGGGAGGGGGGCACCTAGCCATGAACATGAGGCAACTCCTTGGGAGCAAACAAAAGGCGTCTAGTTATATCAGGTACCTCACGGGACCGAAAACAGCCCAGCGATAATTGGCAATACATTCATAATCCTACTGCACCACACCCACTAGACATCGGCTAGGTACTGGCTGGCTGGAACTCGTCACATACTAATTTAGCCAGTTACGCGGAGTAGCTTACTATCTATGGTCTTAAAATGTCTGAGAATAGTAGATGTTTAGTGGTGGTAAAGCACTGGGTAACAAACGGGAGTTTTTATGTCCCCATCAAATGTTTTGCATTGATGCTATGTTTCACACCTAGAGTTTTGCGGCTTCTTAGTTTGTCTATTTATCATAAATTAGTTCCTTTCCTTTCCACTCATCTTCATTCCCGCGCCCGCCCTTTTACGAGTGTGGTCTGGTGTCATGTGCCTGCCTATATACATCTCCGAGGGTTTATTTTTATTTTTTACTTTTATTACCTTTTTTCAGGAGGAAATGTAGTCACATCTTGGAGAATTTCTATGGTGTTGAGTTTATTTTCTATTTTCATATCATATCTAGTTAGGTGTTGTAAACGAACGCCTTGATTGTTCGCTTTATTTGATTTTTATTCCTTGAAGCTATCATAGTCGTCATAGAATGAGCTCTATCATATGATGCAAGTAAAGCGCAGTACTGTGACTGCAGTGCTATACTGCAACTTGACATAGCCTGGCCTGGCCTGGTCGAACCGGACCAACCCATGATAGCCCAAAGGGGGCACACTGTACGGCATTGTACTGTACTCTTTGCACTCGTGACTTCCGGCCTTATTATCAAATGGTTGGCTCACGGGAGTTTTCCTCGCAGGTGTGTGGGTGGTGTACAGCACAGTACTGTACTCGGGTGTAGGTTACTTTTTGATCTGGAACGACCTATAGGTCTCATGCATCCTTGCCAAGCCAGTCCATAGAGTCATTGACAACCGCGAGTGATCATCTGTGATCGGATTGCACTCACAACCCCCTGGCTCCTTGTAGATATAAATGTGCCATACTGTTGGCGAAGCTGCCGGGCAAACCACACCGCGGGCCTTTTTCAATCATGTATATACGAGTATTAACGCTATTCACGATTTAAGTCAGTGTTCAGCACTTGCCTCTGGTGGCAGCCATTCGAGACCCAAAGGGTGGGCGTGGCGGCATGGGAGGGGGTTGGCGTTTTCGAGTACCGCTAGGTAATATCCCATATCACATCTTGAGGGCACGTAGCCGGTGGAGTCATGTGGTGCATCATCCGTGTTACTCGCTGGCCCCGCCTTCCTGTCCGCTAGGCGCTTGCGCCGGTATATCCGCAGCGCCTGTAAGTTCGTGGGGGTACGATGGCAGGGGCTGCCGTTGGCGCTCAAGTTAGATTGTTTTTGGGAGGAGAGTGTGGGAAGGAAGGAGTGCTTTTACGCGTCTCTTGCAGACGGATCGAAATTATACACCGTGCCCGTTTAATCTGGGTAAAAAAAACTCGCTATGCGGCAAAAACAGCACCCTTCACTCATGGTCTCGGGTGACGATCGCTTGGGGAGTGAGTAGTGCTTGATGTATGCTAGTGTATTTGTCCAGCGCGTCCACTGCCTAGCTCGCTCTGGTGAGGATTGCTTCCACGAGCAGGGTTTGACAGACATTGTTGTAACCTGCCGGTCTTTATTATTATTATTGTTATTATTATTATTATTATTCGTAGGTGCATGGCGGGCGAGTCTTTTTTTTCGAGATTATAGGAAATTCTTTATGCCGTGTGGGAGGTCTGGAAGGGGATGGCTGAGGTGTTCCATTTTTATGAGGGGACGGATATCGAATTTCTTCTCCCCCCCGTCTTTACAAAACCTATGATACTACTAGTGCGACTGGTGGCTCATGGTTGGTAAGGTGTGGTATATCATATATGATACTGTATTATAGTTGAAGATTTATTCCATAGCCCTCACCGAAAGACAAACGCTTCCTCGACGGAAGCTGCCCACTAGGATATGCTTCACTACGCGCCCAGCCAAGGAGGGCAGAGAGTAACCTGAAAGAGTTCTTAGGAGAATGTTGTAACCTTTTTCTCCATCCAGTATTGCATGACTGTGCGTTTCCCACTTGGTTACCTCAAATCGGGTAGGGCAAAAAAAAAAAAACTCTAATAGCCAAACAGTGTTCCATGTGACCGGGAACCCCCCACTTTTGGAAAAGTGACAAAAAACATTCCAAAGATAGGGCTGCTTAGCACCTCAGAGAGAGACAAGATAAAAAAACAAAAAAACACCAGGTCCTACCAGAGGAGGAAACTTAATCGGTATAGAATCTGGTTCGGTTATTCTGCTCCCCCATACCGCGTGCATGTATCTGGGTACAGAGTGGCCTCCCAGAACTAATGTTGCGCAACTAGTTTCTGTGATTCCAGACGCGGTGGGTTGCAGATCGAGGCGAGGAGTGGTAGCTTGGACTTTGGGAGTTTACTCCCTTCACTTCCAAGTTGACAGTCGAGTGAGAATTAATGAGTCATTATTCCTCCAGAGTTGCTATCATACCCCTCTGACGCGCTAGGCCATCACCCCTGTCGAGTATTGACTTCTATGCGTAATTTCGGGGAAGATATTAGAACCAAATACCGGTAGGGCTTCAGAAGCAACAGGTATTATAACTAATGACTTTTGTAGTTTCATCCCAAGGCGATCGATTTATGGCAGAGATACGAGCACTCTCTTTAAAGGTGTAACACAAGCTGGAGTAAACTCTGCGCAGGCCCCAAATCTCCCCAGCATCTCACTCCCCTAGTTTTGCATGCTTTGATGACTATCTCGTTAGAGGGCGTGAAGGGGAGTTCATAGATATCCCTCGTCTATTGATGCGATTCAAGGGGCTCAATTCGTTCTCTAGCACCACATTTACCGCCTCCAGGGTATTAGAACCTTCGCCCAAAGACCCACTCCCTACTTATATGTGTTCGACATGCTTTCTCGCTGCGCCGTTCATTGCGGTGTTTCGCTATTGAAAAGGGTTTTGAGGAACAAGATATTTTGAATCTTGAGCCCCGGGTGTGGATGGTAAAGGCCTATTGGCCAGCCATATACCTTTGGACATAGCAGCCAATTCGCTAGGCATTTGCAAGGGTTGTTTGTGGGTTTGCGGGCGTAATCTCTCGTTAGCGCACAGCTACAAACAACAGGAGGTATCTGTATAAGTAATGTACAAGGAAATTCCCTCCATTTCCCCCACAATTTGACACCTTCTCCCCTCCCTCTACTTCACAGCTCAGTGGCGGTATCCCAGATGACGCGAGAGGATTTCTGGAACCATTGCTCTATATACAGCCTTTTGAAAGAGCTACCATAATAGACTCCCGGGCAAGTTGTACAGGGCAGAGCTTTGTTAACTTGTCTAGATATTCTTTTGTCTTTATAAGGCTCTGTTTGGCGGGAACGGAACCGTTCAGGAACGGTCCATTTCAAAATGGTTGCAACAGGTGAAATGGAGCACTTCTGTTTCGAAGCAGTTTCTCTTACCTTCAATTGAGAATTTTTTTTAACCCCTGGCAACACTCTATAGGGCAGAGTAATTTTGAATACCATACCCTAATAAATCTGCTTTTTTCTTTTTCTTGTAAACTAATGAAATAAATTCTATATTATGTGCAAATCTCTCAGTCTCCTGTACAAAAAAAACTATCTTATCTTAACATTCGTGAAAACTTCTCCCTTCTCTAAAGAGGTTTCAACTTATTCACAGATACCAAGATGGACGAGCATTCTCCTCAATACCAGTGTGTTACCACTTTCACCATACTTATCATAATTGTTTACTAATTTAAAATAGTAGTTCACCTTTGAATACACAAACCTTGAGCGATAAGACTCAATCAATACAGTTAGACTCGGATACTACTGCAAGTCAAAATACTGCATGTATACTACCAAGTGGGCATCAACCTGAGTGTTCTAACCACTCCTACGAGATTGAAGGTAAGTTAAATATCACTATAGTTACTATGATAAGTTCTAACATTTTTTTCAGAAAATTTATCCGAAATTCGTGTTCTAGACCCCGGTGAAGTACCTTCCTCCTTTACGGGAAGCAAGCAGAAAACCCGCAAGCCTCGCCGGCGTCCAGTTGAATGGTCTCCTGAAATGACATCTGTGTTGTTGCGAGAACTAGTTCAAGCTATTAGGACTGGAAAACGATCTGATAATGGGCTAAAGATGGAAGTTTGGGATGAGATTGCTGAGACAGTTCTTCTGATTGCTGGACCTAGGGCTCCTGTAACAGGTGAGAGATGTCAAGGCAAATTGGAGACCTTGAAGAAAAAAGTAGAAGATGTGGACCAGGTTGAAAGATTTGAGTGGTTTTGGGGTTGATCTTAAGACTGGTGCGGTTACTGCACCAGATGAAGTATGGGAGGAAGAAATAAAAAAACAGCCTGGAATACGAGAGTTTCGTGACAAACCACTTGCAAATGCAATTGAGTTGGCGGAAATCATGGAGGGAGTTCAAGCAACAGGTGGTCATGCAATCTATCCTGGCCATACAAAATTACAACAAATCACGATTCCTTCGCCCCTTAGGTCAGATCTAGCAACTCAGGCTGATCCAGAGCAGACCAGCCCCAATACAAGTCCTCATCAACATAAGCGGAGAAGGCTAGCACCACTGGGACATATTCGACAACCTCCAAGGAGTGTTTCTGAACGGCTGATCACTGCTGTTGAAGGGATGGCCACTACACCAATTACTATTGCAGCATCCCAATCAGTTGTTCAGCAAGCTGTATCAAAGCTTCAACAAAAGTATAAAGGAAGACTAGGGTGGTCAACACAAGATATTGTTACTGGATATGAGCTTTTTGAGAACCCAGTTAAGGCAGAAGTGTTTTTAGCATTAGAGGAAGGCGAAGATCAGGAGCTTTGGTTAAGAGGTCAAATAGTTCGTTACAAGGCCTAGGAATTCTACAGCAGTTAGTCTACTGTGACTGGTTTTGGTATTGTACATAATCAAGCCACATTTGTATTGCACGTTTGTCTCGATCTTGTTTCATCTCTCCCATATCTTGTGCATCTCTAACATTTCCTTCATCCTCCTCCTCATAACTTGGATTTGATTCCTCAGAGTGATTGATGTTTTCCAAGGATGAATCAGCATCCTGGTAAAATTGATCCTCCTCTCCATTTGCCCGGTGTCGAATAAAGTTATGTAATGCACAAACTACCAATATAAGTTGAGCTTGTGTGGTAAGGTCAAACTCTGGAGCTGTATTGAGAATTTGAAACCTCTTCCGTAAAACTCCAAAGATACGTTCAATAACATTTCGTAACTGAGCATGACGTAGGTTGAAAAGCTCTTTCTTAGTTCGTGGACGTAAATGAGCTTGTACTTGCTCCCGCAGATGATATCATACGGTATGGTATGGTGTTAAAAACCCAGGACGAAGACCATATCCTGCATCTGCAAGATAAACTGTATTTTCATGTCTTGGAAATCCATGAATCACAGCATTTTCTAATACTTGAGCATCATTGGCTGAACCCTCCCAGCCAGAACATACATAGAAAAAGTACATATCCAAGCTGCATCCAGCAAGAACATTTTGCGAGAGGGTACCTTTCCGGTTACGATAGGGACCCTGCTGGTTTTGTGGGACATGGGCCAAAATGTGTGTCCCATTGATTGCTCCATGAACATCCTTAAAATTGGACATCTTTCCCCAATTTTTCCGTATTTTTGCAGGAATATTGTTTGGTGGAAGATGTACAAATGCTTCATACAGAGGCAGGAGAGCCTTTAGAACTTGATGAAAATAGCTGTAAAATAATTAGAATAATAAACATTTCATATATAAATATTATAGTGCAATTAATACTAACCGTGAAATTGTTTCTCCACTATGCTGAAAGTGTTCCTGAGCTTCCCTATTTGTAGCTCCATGTCCAATAATCCATAAAAACAATACAAGTTCTTCCACAGCTACTTGATGTGTAGACACCAGTAATCCCCTCTCAATTACCCAGTCTCGAAGGTCTAACAATGTTGTAATTGGCATACGAATAACCTCTAGAGCACGACGAGGATGTGCTTGCAGGATTTCAGCAGTATAAATCATTCCAGTTTGAATAGATATATGAACAGGTTCTTTAGAGAGGAATAGATGAGAATAGAGAGCAGAGGTAATTGCGATATGAATCCGTCTTTAAATTATGGCTGTATGAATTGTGCTCATATTGGGGTGAGATGCCATCTTGGAGGTGTATGAGTTGTTTTCCGAGGTGCCAGTGGAAAATATGATGTATAGGGAATAATCTGGTTATTATTTTTAATTAAGATGTCTTTATACATTACAAAAATTTTTTAATACAAAACTAGCCTAAGTGGGGGACCAGCTACTGTTGCAAACCTGGTTGCCAAGATCCACTTTGGAACGGAACGGTTCTTGTTTTTCTACATTACCAAACACTGGATTTACTCCAACCGTTTTGAAACGGAAGGAAACGGTCGTTTGTATGGGGGAACGGACCAGTTCCGTTCCCGCCAAACAGAGCCTAAGGATCTAGTCTAGTGCCAATCCTTTGAGCAAATTACTAGCTTTGGTTGGCGTGCACGCCAGTAAAGGTCCAATACCCTATCAGGATTCGCTGCTCAGGTGGAAACAGCCCCGGTACGCCGGTCTAATATATACCCAGAATAGTTGGGTAGTTGAGATACTTTCCCCAACCCACATTGTCCACCCTGATGGAGTGGAGATGGCAATTCCCAAAATCGGACAGAAACCTTAAACTTTCAGTTTTTCAGAAAGAGCTGTTACCGCTGTATATGACGGGCATCGCGGTTACATTCCTGATCTCCGCCCTTGAGAACAGGGGGCAAGGATGGGTTAGATGGATAGAGCTTTGAGGGTGCTCTAGCCTGATGGGTCATTAGGCTGACCATAACAAAGCGGCCCCGGAACAGTTGCAGCCCAAGACATACAAAGGCACATAACATACAAGCCAACGGAGGCATGCGGGATAAAAAAAATACAAACATCGATCACTTGAGTCATATCCAAGGCCTTACGTATATCCCTCGCAAACTCTAGGCTCTCTACTTACTAGGCGCACTGGATCGGTGTAAATGATGTATGCTCCCCAGTATCTGATCTGATTTTCAAATACTGAGAAAGTTGGGGGTTGCATATTGTATCGGAATACTCCTTTGGAGACGCCTAATATGATCTGCATGTCCAGGTTCCTTTTTTTTTTTCTGGCATTTTAGATCCAAAGTAATGGTACCCTAGTTTAATCTGGGAGCTCGAGCAAGGTAAGTTTAACAACACTGAGCCCTGGGCCTTAGCTTATATAGGAACCACACCCGACATCTGGTGGTTAGTGGGCTTAACCAAGAGCCGTTCCCGAGACCCATAAAAGCTGTTTGGCCACAGGACTAGAGCTCCACTGGTGGTGCCTGAGAATCAAAATCTCCCCCCAGAAAGTCGACTAGCTGAACCTATTTACACAATAAAATACACAGGTGCAACACATTCCCCAAAACTGGTATTCTATTCCCCCGGCAGATACAGCCTTCGACTCGGTTCATAATACAGGTAACTCTCAAATGGAAAGAGAGGTCATACCCCATCACTCGGAAAGTAAACGTGGCCAACAGCTTTGCCACATTCTGGCCTGGTTTTTTTCTTTTCCGAACACGGAGCCATATTACCGACGCATGCAGGGTGATGCCGTAGAGTGGGGGAGGAGGAGTAAAAAATTAAAATTAAAATTAAAATTTCGTGCTAAGTACGGCAACCCCTCCCTTCCCCGAGCAGATCTTGATTGGGCTTGTTAAATTCAGATTTAACGGGTTGCATCGTTGGCAAGGGGAATGGCACCCATCGAACTGGTACGAGTAGTTTCATCCGTGATGCGCAACCTCCATCTACGGGTATCATACTGGAAAGTACTCGCACATCTGTCCAATTTTAGGAAGGGAGAATTTACGGAGCGGGGTGGTTGTAGTCCGCACTATTAGATTTTCCCACACCCCAGCGAAAATCTGCATGTTTGACTTGGCATCGAGATATCATACCAGGAAGAAGACTCTTTATGAAATAAGCAGGCCTCATGTTTGTGCCAATTATTCCGCCCCTGAAATCCTACCCCCGTCAAGGTTTTCAGGAGTGGGACCAAGCGCTATTGCAGTTACTGTATGTGGGATATGATAGGACATTTGAATTCACGAAGCCGGCCGGGATACCCAAAAAATCAAACAAGAGAAGTTATTCCCTGCTTAAACAGAATTAGGTTTAGCACACGATTTGCATCGGATCACGTACTAGATATAGGTAGGCCTTTGAAGGAACTACCCTCCTACTCGAGTACGGTACCGTACAGCCATAAGCAGAGACACAGGTGCGAAATTGCGCTGGCCGTCTTGTGCTCCTAGCTAGCGCCGATATTCTCGTTCATCCCGATCTTTACAGTATATCACGGAGAGCCCGCTGAACTTTCAAATGATCCCAGAATGCTTACTGTATACGATAAAAGGTGGCCGAGGTGGCTGATTACAACCTGGGGTCGCCCGCCGCCCGACACCTGCACCCCACCCGGGTCATCTTGAGATATCCGCATCCGTCTACCCCACTCCACCCGCATACATATGTGCAGACACACACAGGACCGTGATATACCTAGCCTGTACGCGAGATGGGGGGATGGTCTAAGATAGCCAGTGCAGATGCATCACAAATGTAATCCTGCAAAATCCCGGCGAAAGTGCTCGACTCGAGTGAGAATTGATGAAGCAGAAATCCCGGTTGCCTTACAACTAGAGCTCCTAAATCCAAAAAAAAATCCTGGCAATATACAGTAGAGTTGGAGCACATAATAGCTTATCAGGGATGACAGGAAATAGGTGACGCAAGCCAGACTCCAGTCCACGAGGTCGTAAAGGGAAAAAAGAAAAAAATCGGCGGATGTGATCCTTTGCCGCTATTGCCGTAGCAATCTTCAACCCCCCACACTGGCTATCACGTACTCACTTGATCACTAACCCTCGATTCGAGTGCTTTCAGTTTGCCGAGTCTTTAAAAAGAGATGTCGCAGTCGCAGGCTAAAGTCCCCGAGAGTGATCCGCCACACATACATCCTCTCCTGGAAACTCGGAAGGTGGAAAAACAGCAAAAGCTAGAGATCAGCTAGGAGAGGAATCTGAAAGAAAATTAAATTTAAAAAAGGCCAGAGACCCCGGGCCGTGTTCCTACCTCAAACACTTCACACAGACCTCTCTGTCCCTCTCCCTCTGTAGCAACCTTTTCACTTTCAACATTCATTAATAGCAAAGATAAACCCCCAGACAAAAATCCAAATAGAGCCAGAATAGGAATATGGAGAGAATAAATAAAAAGCGGTATCATACAAATTCTGCGCGCAACATTAAATAAAGCGAATAGCAAGTGGATTGAAAATGGAGAATGCAGATAAGGTACATTTTTATGTATGTATATCCTGGATATGGGATAGATAGAGCGAGACATTAAGGATATGGATAGGGGGATTGGACGTGGCGAGCATGAGAATGATTGGAAGTGGGGGAGGGAGGGAGGGGCAGTAAGTCGGAAAAAGTAGATAATATTCAAAGGTAACTTGGGTGAGAAGTTAAAAACAAAAAGGAAACCCCCTAGAAACGCCCGGACGAGGTTGAAAAAGGGAAGAAGAAACATACATGAGGAGCCCATGAGGAGATAAGATGCAGGAAACATGGGTGAGGGAATTAAAGAAGTAGAGGATAGGGGCTGCTTTTGTCGTAAAAGAAGAGGTACTGTTCCGAGAATCTCTGCGCCTTCCGATCCTTCACATCCGTTTGATCCGCTGATGGGATATTTTTGGTTTCGTGAAGAAAGAGAATTGAAGGTAGGGTCGAAGGCAAAACAAAAAAGAAGTAAAAGGTGGAAGAAAAGGAAAAAAGCAAAACACAAACTCCCATATCCATCGGTCTATAAATCCTATTTCTTTCTTTCTTGCCTTTTACGTCCCTCCACCTCCTCCTCTCGAAAAGAAGAACCTAACCCCGAATAAGGACAGCGTAGCGGGCATGGACCCAAAATTAACCCCTCACCTCCCTCCCCAGTATACGAGGTCGCTCCACGCTGCTCAATCGACCGATTCCAACGACGATTCGGGAGCAGCCAAAGCAACTGCCTCCTCTTCAGTAATGTATATCCCGATCAAGCACTCAGCCAACATGCCCTCAACATTGACCCAAGGATGCGTAGCGTTAAATAGTTTCGTACAATCCTTGCCCGCGCCGCGGAGGAGGTCCTTTTCCCCGCCGGGGTGGAAGGGGAGGTACGCCGTGATATTGTATACTCGTCCGTTCAGCGCGGTCCAGATGTCGTCCGGGGCTTTTGCATGCGTAGCTAGCATCGAGGGGGAGACTTTTATCAGGTTCGAATGCGAGAGGCCCTGGTAGAGGGGAAAAGAAGAAAAAGGCAAAGTCAGTTAGGATGATTTAGCGGGAGAGATCGGGTGAAGCCAGCTACGGCTCCGGCACTCACCCTTAAGTCCACGCCGGAGCGCTGTAATCTTGCCCAATCAAGCGGTGAATGCCCGGGTTCTAGGATGACTTTCTTCCGACTGCTGGAGGAAGGGGTGGCGGATTTTCGCTGGTTCGGGAGCGTTAGTCCGTTACCCGCCGCCACACCGGAGGCTCCCAGTCCCACAGCGGCTAATCTTGAACGGGCGGCCGAACTTTCGCTCTGCCGTTGCTGAGCAGCGGAGGATTGAGGTGGAACACCCGGTAAGACGAGACGGGCGTTTGCCTTCGGATTCCTCCCACGAATGGGAATGGGAATGGGAATGGGTGGAGGCGCCATAGGTAGTGTTGTTGTTGCTGTCGACGTGATGGGTGAGGGCATTGTGCTTGTGTTTGTTGAGGGTGATAATGATGACGACGGTGATAATGATGCAGTGAGAGATGAGATCCCACCGGATGCTCGCTGGGCAGAATTTAAAGAGGGGAAGGAAGGAGGCGTATCATCATCGTCAGTCTCATCCCCTTCGGCCTGTTCACCGTCATTGTGGTTGTTGCTCTCCACACCTCGCGCTCCCGGATCATCTCCATCTCTCTCGCCATCTGTAAGCAGTGAGATCTGGGGTATCGCGGATATCCCAACAGTGGGGGCTGCAGAGGGTGCGAGTGCTTTGGGAGTTGCTTCTGGGGAGTGGGGATTCGGCAAGGAAGGGGGGAGGGAGGGGATTGTTCCAGGTGATGATAAGGGTGATGATGATGGTGGTGGTGGTGGTGGTGCTTGGGCGGGTGTTCGTCTTGTTTGCTGCTGCTGTTGTTGGGTATCCTTCCCCTTCGGAGCAGGTTCGAAATTCGGCGCGTCGTAATCCTGTACTGTTATTGAGACGGCAGCAGCTGCTGTAGTTGCTTGTGTTTGAGGGGAAGATGGGGGTTTCGGGCTCAGAGGCTGCTTAATGAAGGCTGAGAAGAAGGGCCACATGGGGAGAGCCTTCGACTGACCACTAGTGCCGTCGGCGGAAGAGAGGCGGCGGTAGAGCAAATAAGACAGGAAGGCGAGGATAAGTGACAGGCCGACAATCATCGGTGGCTAAGAATGGGACAGCGGCGGGTGCTGCCGGGTTGGGACGAGGTAATGGGCTGAATAGTGGAATGATGATGGGGGAGAATCGTATGACTTTTTTTTTATTATTTTATTTTTTGTATAAAGTATATTTTACGGTGGTTTAGGTCCGTATGCAGGTTGGGTGGGATGGGATGATGGGGTATGGTGCGGAGGGGAGGGGAGGGGAGGGTGCCGGTACGTATTGAATGAAGGGTGGATTGTGAGGGAGTGAATGGAGTTTGTATGGATGTATTGCTCAGTCTGGCTGGCGGTTGAAGTCATGTCTGGTGGAGGTGAACCCCAATCTGAACCCGCCCGGATAGGACAGAGACCGGGCAGAAACACCAGTAACCGGTATGTAGACTATCTGATCCAGCACTCGAGCACTGTCTCATACTGTACTCGAGTATGGGCCCGCGGAAAGGGACATTTTAACCCCAACAAGGTGTCAGCCAGAGGAAGAGAATGAAAATCTCTTCACTTCTTCTGTGATATCAACAGCACCATAATATTATCATACCTTACTTTTTTTCCCCTTTCCTTTTCCCCCTTCTCCTCGCCACTCCTTCCGCATGTTGACAAGAAACACACTCAATGGGATTCTGCAAGTCCTTCCACCCTAATTGGCCAAATAAAGCCCTAACCCACGACCCTGCTGCCTGCCAAGACATCAAAGGATGAATAATCAAGCTTCAACAAATGTTATGATACTGTTATCCCCCGTTGATCGTCCTCCTCCCCCCGCCAAGCCGGAGGAAACCAGTATCATAGCAAGAAACTCCCCCACCAAAACCCTCCATCAAATCGGAAACTAGGGGAAGTCTCAATTGATTCCCTGTCCCCTTTGCCGGGAAGAAATTGGAACGGCAGCTACGGTACGGCACGTCACCTCCTCCTCTTCTTTCACTAAACTAGGCCCGGAGGAAGAGAACAAGAAAGAGGGGAAGAAGAAAAAAAACCCCTCCAATATCCACCGCTTCTCGTATGTTCCTGGACCACCTAGAAGTCGACCGCATCACAAGAATGTCCCTCGTAAACCTCGGCCACTTCTGCTCGCACATGCAGAACGCCTCACGCTCACGCCTCTCCATAACCTCCATCATCCCGTCGAAGCTACACCTAGGTATCGCATTAGCGCTCCAAGACCATGGCTTTATATCCTCCGTGACCCGGGGCGACACCGCGGGCCCGGACGCCGAGGAGACGCCGACGACGCAGGAGAACATCGCAAGGAGGAGACTTTGGCTCTCGCTCAAGTATCACGATAACGAACCCGTGCTTTCGAGGATGAAGCTTGTGAGCAAGCCAACCAAGAGGATACATATGGGGGTTCTGGGGCTGCAGAATCTGGCGGCGGGAAAGCAGCATGATTTCGTGCAGCCGCTTGAGGCCGGGGAGATTATGCTTTTGTCGACGGATAAGGGGGTTATTCTGGAGGCTCGGCAGGCCGTCGAGAGGAGGATTGGGGGGCAGTTGTTGTGCCGGGTGCGGTGAATTGTGGATATTGGAATGGCGATTTTTTTTTTTTTTTTTTTTTGTCTTTTTCGGCTGCGGGATGCATGGGATTCACGGGGTTACATACTTGAAAACGACCTTTTCGCAGGAAAGCAGGGGCGAAGGGGAGGGGAAACCCCCTTTTGTATATAATGTCACGTTTTTCCGCTACCGGATAGGATCTGAACTGGTGAAAGGGAAGAGAGAGATGGGATCGTCCTGGATATCTTGAACCTCCACTGTCTGGCATTCTCTGCAAAACACTACCCCCTCAGTATCATAGGGCCATTCTTCAACTGGAGCAGATACACTTCCCCAGCGAGGCCCCACATCGCTAGGAATGATGTCTCGGACCCGAGGGCACCCAGAGGAAGAAAAAGTAAAATAAGGGCCCCGCGGATGACACCTGCTTATCAGGACTTACTCGTATGATACGATATCAGCCACAACAGCCCCAGGGTTGCGGATATTGCTGTAGCAAATCAAGTCCACCCAAATCGGTAAGCCGCCTGAAGCCGAACAACCGGAGGAGCAATTGCGCCAGGATTACACCCTGGGAAACGGCGACTAGGGTTTCTTTCTCGCTCAGGCTTTTTCTAGTAGTAGACTTCTCACCTATAGGCATTGTGGTTCGTGACGGTCGGATGGTACTTTTTATTTCCCGTTCTCCCCCCCCACCGGCTCGTTTCTTGTGTCGTTCTCGGGCACTAGGAAGACCCTTTCTGACGGCTGGCATATCAACTGACGATGCTCCTCCCCGTATCTCACTCAGAAGTTTGGAAACGGCAACCGAGTGATATTATATGTCCAGGTTCTCTTTCAAATCATAAGCTTACCCACATAATTATACCCCCCAACCTTTTTTAGTAATAAGAAAGAGATATACTGATATTGAGACAGAATCACTAATCGTGGATACAACCAAGAGAGAGTCCTCAACCTGAAACAAATAAACCCCGTATAACGGAAAGAATCCCCATCGAAAATTTACCTCAACCTCCTACCTCCCTTGCTCTTGGCCTCCTTCTGCATCTTGTCAACCTCAGTCAACAGCACGCTTACCGCAATCCACGTAAAGCTCTTGAGAGAATCCAGGTCTTTCCAATTTTTCTCCGGAAGACATAACGACAACGACGCCATACCAATACCTAGGGTTTTTTCCCTTGACTCGCTTTGCATAGACTCAACGATAGAGCTAGCAAGCCTGTCGAACTCATCCCTCATTTGTGATGAGGCGTCCTTCTGCCTTTGGGTCTGCCGCTCTTTGCCCACGATGTTCCCGATAAATACCTCGACTTCTCGGAGGCGGTATTTCCATGGCATGTCCGAGTAGTTTAGCATCATCCGTTCCACATTCCCCTCGTATCTAAGTATGGTGTTAGTAGTGCTGATGGATGAAGTGACGGGACTGCTTACGCCTCCTTGAGCTCAGCTGCAACGCCAATGTAATCTTCCCATTTGTAGTTGGACGGGATCGCTTCCTCAAGCCATTCCCAGATCCCGAGGACCACGGCGCCCTCATCGACATTGCGTGCTCGGCGTTCCTTGTTCACAGTTCCCTGAACCTCGCGAAGAAATGCGGTTTCGTCGATCTCTCTATATAGTTTCCCGAGGACCTTTTCGCTCTCGTAGTATAAGGTTGGTGTGTCTTCGTCGTCATCATCATCATCTGGCACTACATCCTCCTCGACGAATTCAGGTCCCCTTTTTATTAATATGCGAGGGCCTGGTGCCATAAAATCCGGCTTGGCGAAGGTTGCTTTTGGGAAATCGGACCTAGAGACCTAAAGGGAGCACCAGGGCAGTGTCAAGAGGCTGCTCTGTTTTGAAGTATACTCCCGGGGGCTGAACTCACTTTTATCCCAGTTTTAGGGAAGTCAACAGCTGTGGAGGCTAGTTCAGCAAGCTTTAAACAATCCGGATGGTGCACGCCTTCGACTTTCTTGTCTGCAGTAATTAAATGCCGGGAACTAATCATCCCAAGAAGATTGTTCTCCATGAATTCTAGGAAGAAGTCGACAATATCGCTAGTCTTTACCGGGCGTCCGAGGTCTTTCGTTGGGACCTTGGGGTACTCTGCCGGGTCGTATGTCGTCTTTAAACTGAACCTTGCATCGTATATTATATTATATAAGTCTGGGGCTTATTAGCAGCCTCTCTTGAGAGGTGGTGATTTGTGTGGCTTGCCTCCATCTAAATCCCCACCACCTAGCATACTTGGCATATCGCGCTCACCCCGTTGAGGGAACGCAACACAGTTACGCAAGGCCCGGAGCGGAGAGTCCGGGGGCAACTGGTTCGTACCGATAGCCAATGCCATTTGCACGTCCCCAGGATGGTGTACCGGTGATCTGGTGATCAATACTCGCCCTGCTATACTCTCCGATGTACTTTTGTCTCGAGCTTGGACCGTAACATATATTTGGCCTTCCTGTAGATAGCCAGTTTCGTCCATTACCCCAACGAGCGTCATGCCCTTTTTGACCGGTATCCTTGCCTTATGCTTCAAGCTCCGTAAGGATGTAATTAGAGATAGTTCAAATGCTTGCTCTAGAAAATGGTCGTCTCTGAAATTGAACCCGAGGTTGTTTAGTGACTCGATGACCCATGGGAGTCTTATAGCTGTTGAGGCGATTCGTTGCCGCTTCAAGAAATTTGCTGCATTGGCCACTGAAGTTGTCGACTGTCGTAGATCCTCAATGGCTTCTTTCTGGAGGGTCATGAAAGTGCTTTCAAAAACACCAATATCCTCCAAAACTTTTATCAGAGGCCTATTGAGGTACATGGGCAGCCAGTCCGCAGAGTTACAAATCTCGATTTTGCGGTCAGACGATCCCCTGAATTTGATCATTGAGGGTCGAAGGCAGAACTTGTCTCCGACAAGTCGTGTGTCAAGGGAGACCACCCCTTTGGCCCCGGCAAATCGAATCTGGAACACCGTCGGTCGGGTCTTGCGCAGCGATTCGGATTCCCTCCAAACTCGGTCGAGGAGTTGTTGTGAGATTGTGCCCACACCATCACTGAATGTTCGTCCATTTCTCACTACGTCGGGGATCTCTACCTCGTGCTCCGCTCTGACGTCAATGGAACCATAGGTGTCACTGAATGCTTGTCCAACCCGGGCTGCATACTTACCCGGGCATGTGATGCTCGAAAAATCACCGAGCCTAGAAGTGACGATTTTGGGATCGAGGTATTTGCCGTCCAGATAAAAAGGCGCCATAAACCAGCAACTTTGAGTCCGCAAAGATGAGCTGGAAAACCCCAAGAACTCAAATTTCCTGCCAGCAATAGTTATACCTTCCGAGAGATAAAAGCGAAACTGGTTTTTATATATTGGTGACTGGTCCACCTTATGTTGGAACAGCAACGGTTCCCCATCTTCCTCACAAAAGGTCACTCGTATAAAATATTCGTGGTGGTCCGGATACTTTCGAAGTACCCTGTTCTGAGGTTCAGGAAGGGGACCGAAAAAGTAGCAACCAGCAGGTGTTATAGAGACATGGTGAACGAGAGCCATGTGCTTTTTCTGGGCCCTTTCTAGCTTTGAAGCTATTAATGATCCTTTGCGACTCGAGGCGAAGGCTGCGCATCCATCCAACCCAGATGTGAGAGCTTGGTGGGAGAATGTGCCAGGTTCGTTCATTGGATCCTCTCGCCCAGAGCTCTCCACAAATTCTTGCAAAATGGTGGCGGTTTGCTCGCAGCCGTGCCTCCTAATGAATGAACCGACCTGAGGTAACAACCTCAACACAGAGCTTGGGGGTAGGTAGCCACCGGCCCACATCGCATTGAGTTGGAATGCGATGGGGAACATCTCCGGACCAAAAAACTGCCTCTGCAACTTGGCGACCAGCTCTTTGCTAGATTCTTGGAATTCAAACACCGCGGAACGTGTATCTGTTCGCTTCTCGATAACCGGAGGGATTCCACGGTGTTCACCAAGAAGCATAATGGAATCTATTTCGTGGGCTTCCTTGAGATGTATTCGGTATACAAAAGCGAATGGTGCATAAAGAGCGTGGTCTGCACCCAGGCACGAAACGCGCCTCCGAACATCCTTACCGAAAAACCCGAATAAAAGTTCGTCTTGCTGTGTAGTTTCCTCGTAGAACCTAGGCGCTTTATCTAACGTGAAGGTAACAGATTTGCTGTCCCAATTGGAAACAACAATTGAAATCATATCAATATACCGAGCCACAATTGACTTGTTGGTCGAACTACCATCGCTCTGCACCTCCAAACCAAGCCTTTCGAACACAAGGCTCAATGGGTCATCTTGAGAAGGATCACACTCGCTCTCGAAAACAGCATGGACAGCCCTCCCTCCAAAACGCAGAGTGCCGACAACATTGATCGAATAGTAACAGTCAAATACCGGAGCACACCCTTCTGTCTCAGTCGACCAAACGCCACACTCAACCTTTTCGATATCGAACTTTTTCCCAGGAGGTCTCGTCCTTTGTATCTGGGGCTGCTGCAGGCTTTCCTTTATCAAACTTTCTTGCTCCTTCTGTAAGCTCTTGACCACGTAGTGGTCGCAACCTTTATTGCTGATCACGAATCTGAGGGGAGTTCCCTGCATCCTTATCATGCGTTGGGCCACCCCACTATTTCGTGCTCCATAGAGACTAAGAAACTTCTTCCCCGCCTCTTGGGTTGGAACAGTCAGAGCTCCATTCTTCCAACTTCCCTTGCCTGGCTTTCTCTTAAAGACTGTAGCTCTAAAGGCTAGAACGCCGATTTCGTTGAGATGAGGTTCCAGCGTTCTCCTCAGCTGGGAATCCCGGCCGCTGCTATAAGGAATATTCTGAATAAAGATCTCCATACTCGACCAGCGATAAATCTAGTGAAGGTGGGTTGATAACTCCAGAACACTCTGGTGTTCGGCTCACCAACGGAGAAGGAGAACAAGTGGCGAGTTCCTCCTAGGGCCGTTCGAAGATTCCTGGGAACCAAAACCTGCGATAAAGCTTAGCACCAAGCCTAGACTTCATCTATCGGAGCTAGGTGTTTCCAGATCACAAGACCCACCTCGAATTACAGCAAACAACCAGCCTGCTTCGTACAAATGCCGAGATAGTCCAAGTTTTATTTCCCTACCGAGTAGACGTTAGGTCTTAAAAGGTTCTCGATAAGCCGGCAAGCCTGTCGAAATTGAAGACTGAGATGCCCGGCGGAAACATAGAGCTTTGTAGTTGACGGGTCCAGCGGGATAGTTCCGCAGGGTAATTTTTTCGGCGCCTCGAAATCTGTGCTACCTCTATCCGCCTCTACTGCCGGTCCCAAGGGTTCCCAATCTATTACCGCAGAACAAGCAAACAATTGGCCCATATTTGGCCCCGGATATGCCATCGATGATGAAATACGGGTAATGCATGCAAACAAGTGCGGCTGCATGATTCCTTCGGAATATCTTATCTGAAGAGTCAATACAATCTTTCAAAGATGCATAGAAGGGGATGGAACCCCAGGGCTGACTCCTATGACTCCTTGCGGCTTCTCAAGTGCGAATTTCATATACCGGTATGCCCCTTCCTGCCCCTCCCCCCACCTCGCTTCTTACAAGAAATTTGGGGACATTCAGGAAGAGGATGATGCACTGAGTGCAACACCCCCTATCATCTTTGAGGCTTCGAGACCTATATAATTCTCAGAGAGCACTGAGCGCTACCCACGAGCACAAGTGCCGTCACACGAGAGCTGCAAACATCGTCTACAGTATGATGGGTTGCTCGCGAATTTCATAAGTATTTGGACACCTCAATACCAGGGCCCACCAAGAGGACAGATCCATGGCGCCAAGGTGTTCGGATATCTTAGAAATTCTCGAACAAATTACCGGTATGAGTACTGTACTCGTACTATCATACTCCCGCGCATCCGCAATGATCCCTAAAAACAAAACAAATTAAAGTAAAGCAAAAATTAGGCGCAACCTCAGTCAAACGGAAGTGCAAGCAAGATATACCGAAATATTCCGAGAGTCCCAGGAAAATGTTAGACCAAAAAGTGATGTTTCCCAGGCACTTTACCACATTTCCCTCCAAAAGGGTCTGCTTTTTCTCCACTCATGGCTAAAAGAAATTCCCACGGCGAGATTGTGCTCCGGATCGACAACGTTGGTGGCCTAAACTTTGCACCCGTTCATCACAACTCGGTAGTGATGGGTCTCGGAGGGAACCCGGTGGGAGTCACCATCCCGATGGCTAGCGGCATTCCCCAAAGCAAAACATATCAGGCGTATTATTATTATCCACATCACATCGGCATCTCAGCGCATAGTTGACTTTCCCTCTCTCAAAGGAAATTCTCCGCCTTAACTCACAAGCCTCAATACCAAGAGATTTGATGGCTGCCTAACAGCAAAAAGTAAGGCTACGTATCGTGCGGGAATAGAATTAACAGAATCCTCTATTACCGCATTCCCCGGGAAGATTTGCATATCGCTAGCACGTTGAAATAAAGCAGGGGTCTAAGAAAAACATGAAAATTCAGCCAAAATGAGGGCGAAAAATACGGCAAGGTGAGTATATTGTTTGTGCCGTTAAAATCTTTTGCCACCAATATGAGCAACTTGAGAGGGCCACTTCATGGTGCTCCCTCATAACAGGACAGCAATGCCACAAAAAAAAAAGGCATCAAAATGCCGGGGGATGGGGGTACGTCTGTCGAACCTCACGTTATTGGCTCTAGCCTTCTTGCCCACTCAGAGACCAGTTCTCTCTGCTCCAGGTACTTTGCCCAGAATCCAACAGACATTTTTCCTTCACCGAATTGCGAGGAAATCAACCAATTGTATGCTCGGACAGCCTCTCCTCTCCATAATATAAACTCGGCCTACGAGAGTCGAGTTCGACTGACTTTTTTTTTTTTTTTTTTTTGACGGTCTTTTCGGTTGTGCCTGGCCTACATATGCTACCTACAATACTAAAAGGAACTTTGGGTTCTAGTTCGACAGACTTTTGCCCACACCCTACGGAGGTACTCGGACATGGAAGAGAAAATCGAGCAAGACAAGGATACGAGCAGGGAATCTCTGGGATCTCTGGAATCTCATAATTCGCATCATGAAAAAAAAAAAAAACCAGCTTGGGACGAAGTCAAAATCTCGGAGTAGTTACATTTGATTTTACAGACACAAGGAGAGAAAAAAAGAAAAAGAGATAAAAAGATAAAAAAGAAAAAAACAACCTATTAAATAAACAATATATTTGCATATTGTTAGTTGCCAAAATTAACTGTGCACCATGATTGGTGACAATACAGAGTTCTCATTGCTTTACAATTTGAACATCATTTAAATAAGTTGCAATAAATTAACCTAAACCAGACTGTTTCTCCTACTTATTTTTTACTTTTAAGAAATCATACCTCCTATTCATTGCAGTTATGCCAAAAAACTAATACTCTCAGTATCTCTCAGAGTTTACCTCGAGGTAGATTCTCAGACTAAATGCCAATAAGTCTCAAATGTGATATTCTCAAATTGCCTACAATCTTAATATCTACCTTACAACTATTAGAGATACAATCTCAAAGGAAGATCAAGAAGGCAAAGAGAAGATGGGTAGAGGAAGATATCCTAAAACTACTATGTTACCAGATAATATTATAATAGAGGAGGTTTTTAAGAACTGTTATGCAGCATATTCTGAGATTGTTGAAAAGGTTTTTTTTAATGTTTCTTGTAGAACATTGAGGAGAAGACTTGTATAAAAGTATCTTAAAAGTAGTTAGCATAAGAGAGACTTTATTTGAATGAGAACCTAGCTTTGGAGAGACTAGAATAGGGATTAGCTTATAGGTATTGGACAAGGGAGATGTGGAAGAGAAAGGCAGTATAGGAATAGAAGATAGCTGTACAGAGAGAATTAGGAAAGAAAAGAAAATGAGTACTTAGATACACAAATCAGATATAGAATAATGCTTGTACTAAACCTGTTAGTAGGGCAGGAGAGAGGAAGATTAGCCAAATAATAATTGACTGTTTTTATAGTTAAACTCATAGTCCTGATTTATCTGTTTTTCCTGATTCAACACCTACTAGTAGTGGAGTTACTAGGTAGCTAATCATTGATATTTATAATTAATATTACTTTCTAGAGCTATAGAAGGATATTAGAGGTTGAAAATGCTAAGACTCAGTTGCCCTCTTAGAGATAGCTTGGAAGATAGGAAATTGCTCTTATAAAATTCTTGTCTATTTATTGGATCTTCATATTAGGCAGAGACAACTTGATAGACTTTAAAGTTGTCTAGGCCAATCGAGATTTGTTTCTCTAGATGGAGATTGTCTAGGAAGGCTCGGACTTTGCTCGTTTCGTTTATGACTACTAGGAGCAAAGTAGAATAGGTAAAGTAGGGTAGAATCGTAAAAACAATATTATATTGTTAAGGTCTCTTCTCCATTGCTTGATGATATCTAAAGCTTGGTAGGCACTTCGATATTTATATTCCACATCTGAGTATTCGCGGACTACATCTATTTATCATACAACTATGTACTTCTTCAATCGTAATTTGCAATGTCAAGTTTTCTTCCAAAATGCGAACACCTGTGAACCCTGAAAACCATCACACCCTCTTCGGTAATTACAATATTTCTTCTTAGGAAACGTACTGTCCCCAATAGTAATATCCCGATTAGCAGAGTCTTTAGACTTATAGCCTAGTTCTTAAGTCGAACTGAGTTGGCTCCAATTGTCTTCGCCATTGATAAAATGATCAGTCTTATCCATGGCTATATCTGCAAAGGTGGTCGTCATTACAACCATCGTAGGTCGTCTGACTCTGATCCTTTGTAACTCCATACCCAACCAATAGATTTTCTTTGGATGACTTCCTATTAACTCGCAGGAGGCCACTCCACTAGGCTGGTAATTAATCCCTCGGTCGGCAACCCTTGGTTGCTCTCTGGGTAGTAGGTTTCAGTAACCATTGTAGTATTGAGAATCACCCCATGGCTACGATGTGTTCCGAAACCCAGTTGCAACACTTCGTGAAGTTCGTTGGCTCATTTGGTAGTGTCTTTTGGAGTTTTAGACTCTTCTGGTGGATGTAAATGTATTGGTCTCTAGTAGAGATCCTTTACCATTTGATACCATCTCTTTGTGCGAAATCGTCCTGTTACTCACGGCCCATGTCAAAGGTGTTGTGTCTTTGAAGCCAAGTAAGTCTCTGAGTAGTTGACAGAATCACTCCGTTCTACTTCTCAGACCTAGCCGAATGTCCCCTCTCATATGCTCTGTGAAGAGAATCCGGTCGGACAGACAGCAACAACGTATATGGCGTTATTCTAACACCTTCAATTCTGTGGTAATATAGTCACAGGACGCAACTGAGATTGATATATATGATGACGTGCGGGCCCAGTAAGGGAGCTGGAGGGGGGTGTTGAAGACCAGAGATTCCGATTCCGAGTGGGGTTACCCTACTTAGGGTGGTTCCTAGGTATCGGGTTCTAGTATTCCTAACACTTCATCTAGTTAAAGATGTTTAGTAACTGGTAAAAGATAGGCTTTAGAAGTATTATATTGAACAATAGCTTATGAATGATTCTGACAATAAGGCTAAAAGGCAATTGAGTAGACTATAACAATGTGGAGGAAACCTTGTAATCCTGAAATCTTTGATTTTTTAACAGAATTAATAGTGGATAGGATTAAAGCAATTATCAAAGCAGATAGATGATATACCAAATATTGATTTCTACTATGTATTCATTTTTGAATTTCTTTTGTTATTATGGTAGTAGATTAGGTTGAGAAAGTAGGTTATTGTAATAGGGACTATATGTAGGAAGATAGATTTTAAGAGTGTCATAGTACTGAACTATATTTTTTGGAAGATAAAGATAAATAAAAGTCTCAATATCTTAACAGTAGAGTTGAAAAAACAAAATAGTAAAATATAATATTATTAAGTCTGTGGTTTTACTCAATAAGATTCCTGATTTTAAAAGGTAGTTAAGTGTTAGAGTAGAGGAGAACTCAGATATACTTAAGTAGATTTTATCTACTGTCAGTTGCTTCCTATTAGTATTTCACATTTGTAAGAACCCAACTGTAATGATTCCCCTTCGGATGGTTAGTTCTTGGCAATGGGGAATGATACTTCTCTTCTTCTTTCTTCTTCTCACCTTACGATAGTACTAGGCCTCTGCCTATATTACCAATAGTACAAGACCTTTGTT